AAGTAGTATGTGTCGCATTGAGGAGAAGGGGTTGTTTGTTTGTTTGTTTTTACATTATTTCATTGAATTGAATTGAAAGTAGATAATAAATAGAAGTGAGTGATAGGACATGTGATTGCGTAATAATGTGTATGGATTTCCGAAAACAGTACGCAGATATTTGGATACACTGCTTTGACGTAAGACAGAGAGAAGAAATCAGTGTAGAAGCTCTCACACAGGCGTATTGGCTTAGGTTTGCCACATTTTACAATTTATACAAAGAACTGGTGAATAGAAAAGACTGATATCAAAATAGGCATATTTTTTCCAGAGAATAAGCGGTTGGAAGATAAAGGTTAGTGGAAATATTCAAGTTTTAGATGTCAAGGAGTGAATACATCTTTGCCACTGTGGTGAATTTTCAGCTTTTTTCACAATGAGATCTCAACTACTGATTCCTTTCTTCTCGTTGACTCATGACACATGCTTCAGACCTACAGGCAGTGATTTCATGAGTTGTCACCACATCTCGGTGTGATCATTTTCATTCATCTTCTTCTAATATAACACATCAAAATAGGTGGCGATGGATCGACTTGCACAACACATGCCCAAAGAAAGTTTTTACATTTATTACCTTTTTATATGTTGAGCAATAAAATCTGCAAAAACTTATTTCAAGTTTTTACTTATCGTAGACTGACATCAGTTGAAGGAACTAAGGAGACCTAGGAGCACTTGACAACCAGCTGTTTCGTCCTAGTAGTGGACTCTCCAGCAATGCACACCCGCGACTTTCAGGTTCCGTGGCCCGCACTTTACCATTGAGCTAGCCACTGGGTCACAATCCAATCGTTTATATTTCCAACTTGTGTTAGCTCACCATATAGCGCAACCGCCTCACTAGGACGAAACAGCTGGCTGTGCAGTGCTCCGAAATGTCTTTCGTTCCCCCAACTGATGTCAGTTTGCGCTGAAATATTTTCAAATAACCGCATTTCCCAACCTCGCCTGGTTAACTAGTTTACTAGTTACTAGCCGGTCCTAAGCCCGGGTAAAGAGGGAAGGTTGGGCATAGGGCTAGCAACCCTACCCCGTAAAACAAATCTAACCGCTAAAGAAACTTCAAAGCACAAACAAAATATAAAAAATGAAAACAAACTTATTCCCCGCTGGAATCGGAGAGGCGAAATGACGCCAGTTGGTGAAAGCCTGACTTCGGGAAGCCAATTGGCCGATGTGTCTTCTCTCCCTCGATGAAGGCGAAAGTAAACGTGGGGACATGGAATGTCCGCACCATGTTTGAACCCAGTAAGGCAGCCCAGATTGCAAAGGAGATGAGAAGGTATAACATCGAAGTGCTTGGGATTTGCGAAAGCAGATGGAATGGGAGTGGACTCTCCAAACTGTCAACTGGAGAATCAATAATCTACTCCGAAAAAGTCACCCAGACGCCAACCACGAGCACACTGAGAAAAGGAGTGGCTATCATGATGTAACCTCAAGAGCATCGAAGGCTCTCATGCAGTGGGAACCAATCTCCTCCAGGATCATGACAGCAAGATTCAACTCAAAAGGAAGGAAGGTCACAATCATACAATGTTATGCACCTACAAATAATGCAGAGCAAGAGAAGAAGGAGGAATTCTACAGACAACTTCAATCAACACTGGACAAGACGTCAGTTGGCGATATCAAAATTCTGATGGGCAAAAGACATGAATGCCAAACTGGGAGGGGACAACACGGGAAGAGAACTAACCATGGGTCGAGAGGCGCTAGGTGAAATGAATGAGAATGGAGAATTGTTTGCAGAATTCTGTGCATTCAACGATTTGGTGATTGGAGGCAGTGTGTTCAGGCACAAGGATATCCACAAAGCGACATGGACTTCACCAGATGGACACACTAAAAATCAAATCGACTTTATCTCAATCTCAAGAAAATGGAGACGCAGTCTACTTAACACAAGGTCAAGAAGAGGAGCAGATGTAGGTTCAGACCACTATCTAGTGCAAGGAACCTTCCAAATCAAGTTAAAAGCCTTCAGGGAAACTGGTGATAGACCGCAGTTAAAGTACAACACTCGGAAACTGAAGGATGAAACTACAAAGGAGATCTTCAAGGCAGCCATCAAGACAAAATGGGAGATATCGAGGAACATGCCTGAAGAAACCTGTGTGGAAGAACACTGGAAGTCTTTGAAAGCTATGTGGAAAGAAACCTGCACAACAGTATTGGGAAGGAAGAAGAAAGAAGACAAGGAATGGATCTCGACGGATACCTGGAAGCTGATAGAGGAGAGGAGGATGGTGAAGCAGAAGATAAACCAGTGCAAGGATGCTCAACGACAAGAGGAACTGAGCACAATGTATAAAACACTGGACAAAGAAGTGAAGAAGAGTGCACGGAAAGACAAAAGACACTTCTACGACACACTGGCAAGTGAAGCAGAACAGGCTGCAGGTAAGAGAGACCTGACAACATTGTATCAAATAACCAGGTTGCTATCAGGGAAGAGACCAACACAGATGAAACCAATAAAAGATGAAGAAGGAAATTTAATTACAAAAGAAGAGAAACAGAGGAAACGATGGGCCGACCACTTCAAGAAGCTCTTGAATCGACCACCACCTGCACTTCGTCCAGAAATACCACCTGCAGCCGCTGAATTACAAGTGAACATAAATCCCCCAACGAAAATGGAAGTCCTGAACGCCATAAAGCTACTGAAATGCGGGAAAGCAGCAGGACCAGATGGAATACCGCCAGAAGCACTGAGAACAGATGCAGAGACAACAGCGGACATGCTCACACCACTATTGCAGAAGGTGTGGAAGGAAGAGAAGGTACCTGGCTAGTGATTGGAAGAAGGGTTACCTTGTCAAACTGCCGAAGAAGGGAGACCTCAGTGCTTGCAAGAACTGGCGCGGAATCACTCTCCTGTCCACCCCAAGTAAAATATTAAGCCGCATCATCCTGGAGAGGCTTAAGGATGCACTGGATTCAAAACTGCAACCGGAACAGGCAGGCTTCAGGAAGTACAAATCATGTGCAGACCAAATTGCAACGCCACACCACGCATCACATAGAGAAGAGAAGAGGGGGATACACTGGACGACGGAAAAGAACCTAGAAGACTTGGATTTCGCCGATGACCTATGCCTAATGTCACATAAACTTGAAGATCTGCGGGCAAAAACTAACAAGTTGACAGAAGAGGCAGCTAAGACGGGACTTCAGGTGAATATAGAGAAGACAGAAGTGATGAAGATACCGCACCACCACCATCAACAACAACAACAAACTCCAATCACCGTCAACGGGAGAAACTTGAAGGAAGTAACCTCCTTCACTTATCTAGGAAGCACTGTTTCAACTACAGGCGGGACGGACGAGGACGTCAAAGTCAGAATCGGAAAAGCAAGACAGGCGTTCATTAGCCTGAAAGCAGTGTGGAGATCTTCTGCACTCCACTCAGCATGTGGAACAAGATACGGATTTTCAACACCAACGTCAAGTCAGTGCTCTTGTATGGCTCAGAGACTTGGCGCGTCACAAAAGGCATTTCCAATTAACTACAGACATTCATCAACAACTGCTCACGCTCGCTGCTGAAGATCAGATGGCGAGAAAAAATAAGCAACAAGGAACTCTGGGAACGAACCAACCAAGAACCTATCACGCAACAAATATGCAGGAAGAAGTGGAGATGGATTGGCCATGCACTGAGAAGGCCGACTGAGGACATCACGCGTCAGGCCCTCGAGTGGAATCCCCATGGGAAGCGACGAGTTGGGCGTCGGTGTCGAGGGTGACATGGAGGAGGTCATGCGAGGAGGAAATGAGAGCTTGTGGGCTGTCGTGGCACCAGGTTCAAAAGATCTCAGAGAACAGAGGTCACTGGAGGCGTGCTAGTGAAGCCCTATGTTCCACTAGGAACCCAAGGGACTAATAATAATAAATAATAATAAACCACATTTCCCTCAAAATTCAATTGAACTGGTGTTCATTGGTGACTAGCTTCGAGAGGTATTCCGCATTTTCCAATGAGAAGTCGTGACCGGTGAGAGCAAATCCTGATAGTCATGAGGATAGTTACTCAACGATGATATTGGGTGGTGGTTGACCTATATCGTAAGCTAAGAGAATTTGGGAATATGGATGATTGGATTGTGACCCAGTGGCCAGCTCAATGGTAACGTTCTGGCCACGGAACCTGAAGGTCGCAAATTCGATCCCTGATGGGCGGGATCATGGGTGCTCACTCCTAAGGAGTCCCAAACTAGGACGAAACAGCTGGTTGTCGAGTGCTCTCAGGTTTCCTTTGTTCCTCCAACTGTCAGTTTACGATGAGTAACAAGTTGAAATATTTCCAAACCCCCACAACTTCCTCGAAATTCAAAAACTTATTTTCTGATAACAAGGTATGCCAGCCATTTGCTTTTTTCTACTACGTCTACTTCACTTCATTTTTATAAACTTTCCTTCAAAGTTAAACGTTCTACTTTTATCCAAAGATTCACAAGCTTCATTCACCAATTATACATAGTCTTTAAGAACCAATGGAATTTTTACGTGTTATTTCCTAAGTTGGGCAATCCTGGTAGGTATGAGGACGAAAACTCAACGATGATATTGGGTGGCATTGGTGCTGTTTCTTCAACTGATAGAAGTTGGAAATATGGACCATTAGATTCAGTCGACCAAATGTCTCAATGGTTACGTGCTGGCCACATAACTTGAAGGGTACGGGTTCGATCCCTGGAGGGCGGGGTTGTGGGTGCTCACTGCTGAGGAGTCCCATAATACAACGAAGTAGCTGTCGATTGCTCTCAGGTTTTTAACGTTTCTTCCTCACAACTCTCTAAATCCAGTTAGTAAATAGGCTAAAGAACTGTGGGTGCTATTACATAATCACCACTTTGAATAGGAGTTACAATGAATAACTGATTACTGACAATAAACTTCATGATAACAATGATATTCATTTGTTGACATTTTTGTTTAAACTTCAGATTAGAATTGATCACTATGAATAGAATAAGGTCGAATGATTCAACACAATCATCATCATCATCATCATCGGAAATGAAAAACTTTCCAATCCCATTAGATCTAATTATTAAAGCGAATACATTAAATTCTAAAAAGAAACTGTTGTGTAGCCTTGATCTACGCGTTGATCCAGTTGAAAATGTTATGAGCGAAGTGGATTGGAATGTATTTCGGTAAGTTACTTCTTGTAATGTATGTATATAAATTGGTTAGTGATTATAGAGTAAAATGAAAATTTGACCCGTGGGAGGATTCCAACCCGATACTTTATCAACTGCGGTGTAAGACCACGATTGCTGATCACCAGTTGGTAAAACGCCGGACGAGAAGTCCCAGTGGTCGCTGGTTGGAATCTCACTGTAGCCCAAATTTTCATTTCACCTACAATTATTATTACTAAATATTATTATAATATGTCCTTTGGATCCCTAATGGAACATAGGGCTTCACTAGCACGTCGCCATTTCACTCTCTTCTCTGCAGTCTTTCCAACCTGGCTCCACAACTGCCCATAAGCTTTCGTTCCTTCGTCACACCATCTCCTCCATGTCACCCTCAGCTGGGATGCCCAACTTGTTATTTCCATTTTGGCTTCCACTCGAGGGCTTGGCCTGTCGCTTGATATCCCCAATCAACCTTCTCAGTGTATCTCCAATCCATCTCCACTTTATTCTAATGCATATTTGTTGGGCAATGGGTTCTTGGTTGGTTGGTTCGTTGCTAGCCAACCACAGTTCCTCCTTGTTTATCCTTATTATTCCGACCATCTGATCTACGTCTTCAGTGTCAGTATCGAGTGAGCGAGCATCGGCGGCAGCTGTTAATGTGATCCATGTCTGTAGTTTGTTAGAAATGCTTTTCGTAAGGCGCCAAGTCTCTCAATCATCACATAGAAGCACTGACTGACTTGAGTGACATTAGTGTTGAAAATGTGGATATTGTTCACGCTTTATGCTGAGTGCAGTGCAGTAGATCTCTACACTGATTATTTCAGATTCATGGAGGAAAGCGTGTCTTGCTATCTTTCCGATCCCGGCTGGCTTTGATATCCTCATGTGTGCCTGTGCCGCCTGTAGTTGAAACGATGCTGCCTAGCTAGGTAAGTAGGTAGGTGGGTAAGGTGGTGAAAGAGACAACTTCCTTTAGGTTTCTCCCATTCATGGTGATTGGTGCATTTTGTTGTTTGGGTATCTTCATCGCTTGCATCTTCTCTACATCACCTGAAGGAAGTCAAGTCTTCTCTGCCTCTTCTGTCAACTTGTTGGTTAGACATAAATCATCATGCAGTATCAATAATATAAGTCTGTCAACATACGATTGCTATCTCAGATAGTCAAAATGATATATATGTATATGTGTTCGTGTTTTTAAAAGGAAATTTTCACTGATATACTCACATAAACCACTTCCCCTCCCTCGCCCCCTTTGTTTTCAATGGTTATTTCAATTTTAATGTGTTTACATGCGAGATTAAGTAGTCTTTTATAGAGTTTTGTTGTATAATATTTGTATTCTTTCTTTGATTTCGGTTTGCATCACTTTCCTGCTTTTCATTATGATGTTTATTGTATCGCATTAATCGAATTATGAACGCTTTAGTTATGACGGTTTAACACTTTTATATAACAATGGATATGAATTTTTGTAGTGAGGTGTTTTGTGCCTATGTGTGTGTGTTTGTGTATGCTTATCTGATTTCAGTTTTACATGTGAACTAATTGAGTCCAGAATCATACTTGAAACGTTCATTGGATAGGATTTAAACATGGTACGTTACCGAGTGGCATCAAATGATACGCTAGACGAAATAATAATAAAGGAACATTATAACAACACAGGAAATAGACGTCAGAATGGAAACGAAAAAGAAGATATAGGGTTTGAGGGAGTTGTGGAGATTTGGAAGTATTTCAAGTTGTTATTCATCGTAGACTGGCAGCGGAACCTGAAGGTCGCGGGTTCGATCCTTGCTGGTGTGGGGTCGTTGGGTGCGCACTGCTGAGGAGTCCCATACTAGGACGAAACAGCTGGTTGTCAAGTGCTCCCAGGTTTTCTTTGTTCCTCCAACTGATGTCAGTCCACGATGAATAACAACTTGAGATATGGGGTTTATTAAAGAAGCAATTTCAAAAATATATCCGAAGAAGTATTCAGAATTTTCGTCTCACTTTTCAGTAGTCGAGGAAACTATAGTGTAATCTCCATGTTTCCTATAGTGTGAAGTCACTTAGTTACATGATCTCTTGGATTCCGTATGGGAAGTCATGAGACACCTACAGATCTGAACCTAACAGAACTACTCTGCCTCCCACGATGTCACCTCATGTGCTTATATATATATATATATATATATATATATATATATATATATATATATATATATATATATATATATATACTGGTGAAAGCGAGGAAGGCTGAGGTGGGTAGTTTGCGGTTTTGTGATACCTTGATGTATGGGTTCTGTTCTGTAAAACATCATCTTATTCTCATTACATCACATCATTTTATTCCTTTAAACCTATCGTCTGACTAATTGACTGATAATGAAAATAATTCAGTTAGTTATCTGTTTATGGGGATCTATGTTGATTAGTTGGAAGCAATCGGTAGAATGGCATGAACCTAGTTTTCGTGCTTCTTGGCACTCATCAGCAAGGCGTATCTGAAATTTATACAATATCTCCTCTGAAATTCGAAGCTCCAGCACTCATTGCTGAAGTCAGTGACTTTACTACTGGGTTGTTTGGGCCGTGATTAACTTGCTGTACGACTGGATTACATGCGTTGATTGGTCACTGAAGAGCAACCAACTTTATATTGTGTAGTTCTGTCTACTAATCGAATTCTATCAGTTGCGTAGCAATATAGACACCAGGCTAGGAAGCTCACCATTGCGATGCGCTGAGATTGGTGTTAGTTGGATGAAAGAAATCAACAGGATGTTGTAAACCTAAGTTTTATCTACAGGATTTGTCTGAAACCTCGAGAGAACTGATTTCAGACGGGTCATCAGCGAAGTGCTCGGTAGGATGTTAAGTTCAACTGTGCATTTTATGTTTTAAAATCAATAAAATTCAACCATAACTACTGCACTGGTGTTTGAAAACGAATTTCTAAATAAGGTAGTCCGTTTACTTGATGCTAATATTGTTTGGATGGATTGGTACCTTGTTTCTTTCAAACGTACAGTCTAAAGATTTCAAAGTCCTACGGTCATAAGCATAAACAAGTAGAATAGGTGAAAATGAAGTGCTGGAGTGTCTTGGCATTGCTTACAAACATCTAAGAGTTAATGATACATTGCAGACATCTGTATACTACCATATCTGTTTTGAGGTATGAGCATTCGCACTTCCCAGGCTAATATACAATTCAATTTAGAATGTGAGAACCTGTACTCACCGAAGATATTGTATGATAGCCTCACTATATTGCGAGTTGACAAAAGTAGAAAAATCCGAAGCATTGCATTACGATTCAGTTGGTGAGTGGTAATGTGCCCACCGAGTGACCTTATAGTCTTCATCTCTATCACTGCTGAGCAGGACGAAACAGCTGCTCAATGCTTCCAAATTTTCTCAAACTGATACTGTGCGTGATAAACAGTGTGTGCTTATTCTTAAGGGAAGTTTAATGGATTATAGATGACAAGTTTTGTGCACAGTCAAAGTAAAGTGGCTGAAGTCTTTACTTGAACGTATAGTGGATTAACTTGCGGACTACACCCTCATCATTATCCATATTATCAAATGAAGCAGTTAGTTACGTAATCATTATTGAACTCTCTGTGACACTTGATCCTTAACTCATTTCAACTTAACATCATCGTCTACTTACCACACTTCATTAGATATTTTTTGATGAAATTTTAAAATCCCATCGTTTCAAATTCGTGTAGTCCTCAATTTTGATGAATTGACTGTCACAGAATATAGGTGGGCATTGGCGTAAGCTCTCTCTTTCTTTCTTTCTCAACCTCCACATACACACACAAAATCAACGTACAACCTCGCACACAGTTATATCGACTCAAGTTACCACACTTCAATAGCAACATGCAATAAACAAGTGGATAGGAAAAGACTGATATCATAGAAGAAAAACGTGTATGAGAGGAGAGAGGAAATAAAATTAAGGTTTATTCAAATCATTCAAGCTTTAGAAAATATTAACAGCCATCAACCAATGATTTCTATCATTTTGGGGACCCCAATTAGGTAGTTTACACCTCCGTTGATGGGTTCACATCAATAGTCAGAGACTTCATGCATTCGTTCCATATTTTGGTCTTTCCATCCTGAACCGTCTTTCAAACTAATCCAATTTTGCCTTACATTATACATCGAGGTAAACGGTGGCTCAGCATTCGCAGTATATATTCAAGTCACCTTAGTCACTGAGTAATGCTACTAAGATACCTGCAATCAAAACCCTATAATCACTTCATATCTTCTGCTTTCCACGGTTATTTCTCACTACCATACAACAAAGGATAGAACGGATTGCACACACTTACACACATACATTTCACTCATGATTAGGATAATTACTAGTTATATTTTATATTTTCTTTGTGCTTTGAAGTTTCTTTATCGATTGGATTGGTTTAACGGAGTAGGACTGCTAGCCCTATGCCCAACTTTTCCTCTTTATCCGGGCTTAGGACCGGCTGGTAACTAGTGAACAAGTTAACCAGACGAATCAAATTGCAACGTATGCATCATTATAGAACAGAGTATAGAATGGCAGTCAGCTCTCTACCTCAACTTTATCGACTTTCAAAAGGCCTTCGAAGGCGTCGGCCTAGAACTAATTTGCCAGTTGCTTCAACACTATGGTTTCAGTGCCACAAATCTTTATCGACCTCATTCAACAGCTATATGCCATATGAGGACGCCACATGTCAAGTGATTCACAATGGAAAGCTCAGTGACGCCTTCGAAGTGAAGACAGTGCACAAGAGTAGGACAAGGTTGCCTACTATCATCACCGATGATATTCCTGACTGTGGTCAACTGTACTGGAACATGGAGCAAAATGTGAGGAGAGAGAAGATGGGCATACGCTGACTGGAGCGATGAAAAGACCCTAGAACATTTGGACTTCGCCGGCAATGATCATTTTTGTTTAATGTGTTGTTGCACAAAGTTGAAGATGTACAGGTGGAAAC